TTTTGGTAGATTTATTTTTAGCATTTCAGGGATTCTACATACTGACTTCCAGAGTGGTTACACCAATTTGCATTCCCACCAACGGTGAACGAAAGTTCCTCTTTCTCCTATCCACACTAGCATTTGTTGTTGATGGTTTTGTTAATTTTAACCATTCTGACTAGGGTGAGATGAAATGTCAAAGTTATTTTAATTTTCATTTTCCTAATTGCTAAGGAAGATGAACATTTTTGAGGTATTCAGCTATTTTTATTTCTTCTGTTGAAACTTTCTGTCTACAAGCCTAGCCCACTTTTTAACTGGATTGTTTGTTTCCTTGACTCTTTGTTCTTTGGGTTCCTCATATATCTAGATATTGATCCTCTGTCAGATGTAGCTGGCAGAGACTCTCTCCCATTCTGTGGGCTTCCTCTTCACTTTATTGTTTCCTTAGCTGCAACAGAAGCTTTTTAGTTTTATAAGGTCCCTGTTGTCAACTGTTGATCTTGATTCTTGAGCAAACACAGTCATGTTCAGAAAGTTCTTTCCTTCACCTCTACTTTGTAGAGTACTACATATGTTCGCTTGTAACAATTTTGATGCTTCTGCTTTCAAATTGAACTTGTTGGTGTACTTGGATCTTACTTTTGTGAAGGGTGATAGGTATTAGACTAATTCCATTCATCTGTATATGGTCATACAGTTTTCTGCCAAGTGCCACTTCTTGAAGATGCTGTCGTTTCTCTGGTGGTTTTTTTGTTTCTGTTTTTGTTTTTTGCCTCTTTATCAAATATCAGATGACAGTAGTTATTAGTACCCATGCATGGGTCTTCTATTTTGCTCCATTGGCATACTTGTCTGTCTTTATGCCAGTACCATATTGTTTATGTTACTATACCTCTATAATATATCTTGAATTTGGGAAGAGCAACCCCACCAGCATTGTTCTTTTTGTTCAAGATTATTTTGGTTATCCAGGGTCTTTCCTGGTTCCATATGAATTTTAGGATTTTTTTCTATTTCTGTGAAAAATGTTGTGGAGATTTTAACTGGAATTCCACTGAGTCTATAAATTGCTTTTTATAGGATGATCATTTTCACAATATTAATTCTACCAATCCATAAGCACAGAGTATCTTTCCACTTTCTTGTGTCTTTCTGGATCTCTTTCTTCAGAAAGTTCAAGTTTTTATTATATAAGTCTTTCACATCCTTGACTAGGTTTAATCCAAGATATTTTATTTCTTTGGCACTGTTATAAATGGGAGTGTGTCCATGATCTTTTCCTCAGTGTGTTTGTTTTTGATACATAGAAAAACTACTGGTTTTTGTAAATTGATATCATACCCCACCACTTTGCTGAAATCGTTGGGGGTTTCTAGAAGTTTTCTGGCAGAATTTGGGGATCTCTTATGTACAGTGTCATCATCTGAAAATTCAGATGATTTTTAAAGTGACTTGGAATGACAGAAGCTGTTGTCCAGTAACCAGACAGTGGACTTGAAGGATGCTTGCAGGCAATGGTGCTTGCCCAGGTTGTGAATGTGCAGCTTGGCTGGGGCTTTCTCCACTCCTTCCAATAGACTTGCCTGGATCAGAGCATCGTGTGGTCCTTCTGCTGGAGGTGATGGGTCAGAAGGTTCAGGGTGGAGTGAATGAGGCAGAGAGCAGGAAGCCAAGGCTGCAATCACTGGAAGAATTTGAAGCCCTTGGCCATGCCCCTGTTGCTTGAGAAGAAGTTCTTGAGGGCCTCCTTCTGACACTGAGGGAGGGATGTTGGAGAGGTATGGTAGACAGCAGGTAGAAGTACTTGAAGCCCAGCTGCTCGAAGCAGCGCAGTGGTGAGCTGTCAGAGTACTTGGCGAGGCTCCAATCTTTCTGACCCTCATGAGGCAGCAATGTACTTTGATGCATTGATGTTATAATGCACACTGGCTTTCCATGCAGCTGTGGCTTGTTCAAGGTGGCTCATGGCCGGCTGGGTCTGGCTGCTGTCTTCCCTCTGCACGAGCATATTCTCTTCCTTGTTGAACAAGATTTCCGCATAACCATAGATAGCAAAGAGAATAAAGGGATTTGGGTGTGTGACTTTCAATGTTCCGGTTGTTGACCAGTAAGGTGGAATCCCCAGCACCTATCAGACTTGGAATTGCGATGGATGCAGCCTGCTACAGCTACAGCTACTGCCAATAGTATGTGTAATGGAGGTTCGAGGGGAAGCAGTCAGCAGATATTAGGGTCAAAAAGGACAATGTTGTAGCCATGACCTGGTCCACAAGTACCATCTGTCTCCCCCAAGGCAGGCCTTGCAGAGCATAGTTATGACTGTTGTGCTTAATGTTGCAGATGGTGTCCTAGTCAGTATTCTGGCGCTGTAATAAAACACCATGACCAAAAGCAATGCAGGGAGAAAAGGCTTTATTGCAGCTCACACCTCTAAGAGAAGTCAAGGCAGGAACTCAAGGCAGAAGCATAGAGGCAGAAACTGAAGCAGAGGCTATGGAGAAACACTGCTTACTGGCCTGCTTTCATGGCTTTCTCAGCCTGCTTTCTTAGAACCCAGGATCACATGCCCACAAGTGGTATCACCCACAATGAGCTGTGTCCTTCCACAACAACCAACAGAGGAAGTCTCTCAACTAAGATTCCCTCTTCCCAGGCGTGACTAGGTTTGTTGTCAAGCTGACAAAAGTCAACCAGCACAGTGAGCTTGGAAGAGTTGTTGTGTGGTATGCAGCAGTCGCTGTAGATGTTCTGGCTGTCCAGACGCAGTTGAACATCCTGGATGCCCATGTGGAGGGTATAGTGCAGCAGCACCTGGGACTGGCCATCCTTAGTGAAGATGGTGATCTTGGGGAAAGTGCCAAACTTGAAGAAGTTCTGGTGCAGAGCATCCAAGGTCGCTGGGTAGCAGAGATTTTTCTATGATGAAACAGAGTATAGGCCTCTGGTTAGCCATCACATCTTGGTGTCCATGGCCTAGCTGGACATAGTTGTCTGGCAGCACAGCACTGGCACCACCGATGTGTAGTAGTTGATCATGGTGTTGGCAGTTTCCTGCACGTTCATCTCCATGAATGCTTCTTCCCCTTCAGTATGAGAAGGCTGCTGAGCTTCCAAAGAGCAGTGTCAGGTGTGGTGGCATACAGCTACAATCCCAACACTTGGGAGACAGAGGCAGGAGGATTAGGATTTTAAAGTCATCCTCAACTATGTCTTCTCTCAAAACACAACCAACACAAGGACCAATTCAATATGTAGACCAGGATAAGATAACTTCTGTCCTAAGGTTACACCATATGTAATTTTAAATACTTGAGACAAGTTTATAGATAGCTCTTAACTATTCGAGTTTTTATGCCATTATGATAGATCCACTACTTCCTTATTAAAAAATCTATTATCTGAGCAAAGTTCAGCTTCAGAGACAAACCTGACCCCAAAATTTCCAATAACCAGATGTGATCGCATTCTCTCGATCATCTATGACTCACAATTATCAGTATCTTTTTTGGGAAACACTTGTGAAAATTAATTTCATTTGCACTTATGTGACAGCATTTTGTTAGCAATATTTGGTTTGTTTGGGTTTTTTAGCATAGTTAGATAAAATTTGTTTTGCCTTTAATTAATAATTGTAACAGCTGCCCTTGAAATTTTTTCATAATTTGTTTCTCAGGGAAATGAGAAAACGGTGAGGCTCAGTCATGTTTTTAATAAAGATGGCTAGAGACATGACAGTAACAGTCAGGAATCCCAGCCAACCAGAACTACACAGGAAGTTTGAGGCCAACCTGGACTACATGAGACCCTGTCTGAAAACAAAAACAAAAACAAAAGAACAAAGAAAGATGCCTAAAGCTACAGGCTTTCCTGTCATTGTTGGTAGTGGTTACTCAGAGTGGGGGTATTGTTTTGCCTGACTCAGGCCTTGTTATGTTTAGCTTGAGAAGGGAAACAGCATGAAATATCTACATGTGGTTATGTCATTTACACATTAGACTAAAGATGGCTCGCTGTATAGTAACATTCTAAACTTAAGGAAGAAGACACTAGTACATATGAATTCATCTTCCAGTTATTCAACAGGGATTCTTTGTGCCTTCAAGATGTCTTAAAGGAACTTTATTTTCTGTTCCTTGAAGTGTCAGTGTAATATCATCATATTATTTTACTCACTCATCCATAGATTTTTTTCTAAGAGATGCATATTTTTCTGTATGCTAATTGTATTTGATAAAATCGTGTTTTTGACCCTGCATACCAGCTTGACTTTGCTCTAGTTCTAGGTTAATTATTTGAAATATGAATTTTTCCATAGAGTGTGACATTTTTTAATACAAATAATATGGTTTGCTGATGGTGGGACAATAGAAATTTTAAGTAAAACCATCAAGGTGTCATATAAGTACCGTGCGCTAACAGATTGCGCCACTAGAGAGAGTTGGTCATGGGGGAACAGGAAGTTGAGTGGGGGGGTAGGATAGGGGGAAGAGGGAGTCATAGGTTAGAAGACAGATCAGGCACCAGAGTGACCTCTAGTAATCTAAAGGGATGACACCAATTGGCAAGCTAAGCAATAGTGGAGCGACCACCTCGAATGCCCATTCCTGATAGTGAACTTGATGTCTATAACCATCCAGGAGCCTTCATCCAGTGACTGATGGAAGCAGAGGCAAACACCCACAATTATTAAGCACTGAACTGAACCCAAGGAACCCAGTGACAGAGAGAGAGGAGTGATGAGCAAATTGGCAAAGAATGGGCTGGCAAAACCAGCAGAGACCAGGGGAGAGCTCTTGGACCCCAGACTGACAGCGGGGAGGCCAGCATGGGAATGATCTGGACCCCCCCCCGAAGATGAGTGTTAGTGAGAAGGCCTGGGCAACCTATGGGGCCCTGAGCAGTGGATCAGTGTCTATCCCTGGAATACAAACAGTCATTGTGTGCCCATAGCACAAAGAGGGATGCTCTCTCAGCCTGGACTCTTAGGGGAGTGCCTGGACCCTACCCTGAGTGAAATGACAGACTCTAGATATCCCCTATGTGGAAGGAATTAGCAATAGGGTAGGAGGCTGGGGGGGATGGGGGAGTGCGGGAGGAGGGGAGGGAGAGGGACCTGGGATTGACATGTAAAACAAGCTATTTAAAATTAAAATAAAAAAATTTTTAAAAACCATCAAGGTGAACTGAATCCTGCAGCAGGGGTACCACACTTGTGAGCTTTACCCGTAGGAGTAAAGGGTGATTCTCACAGTGATCATCCGTGGTAAAGTCCCGTGTTTCTGGCAAGAAGAACAGGACAGAGGACATTTTGGAATGTGGCAGATCATTCTGTTCTTGACAGAATTTTCCAGAAAGTCAAACTGTTTTACCAGAGCCTAAGCTATTGATGTTTCATGAGAGTCCAAGCAACCTGAAGGAAGGAAAATGCTCAACTCCTGTTCCCTTTGTGAGGAGGTAAATATCAAACTTCAAAGTTCAGAGACAGGCTCACAAAAAGACTGAAATCTTATCATAGGAATAGACTACGTGTGTTCTCCCTCCTCCACACTTGACCACCATAACCCTGAAGGACTGTTTACAGAAGTTATGACCAGTTTTACAAGGTACGCTGAGACAAAAAAGAGAAACACAGATTGAAGATACGGGAAATTTAAGAAACAGACTCAGATATGGCAAGGATGTTGGTATTGTTAAAACAGAATTTTAAAACTTTTATAACTAATAAGGTTTGAAAGTCAGTTTTACATACAAACTTTGATTGGAACAAAGGATGCCCAGAAATCTGGTTAGATCTTATTGTAGAAAGATGCCTTTGAAAGTGAAGGATTGTTTCATGATCTTGATGGTGATGGTGGATTTTATGAATACATACAAATGTTGAAAGAGAAAATGGTACACTTGAAAATGTATAATTATTTATAAGGCAATTGTGTCTCAGTAAGCAGCATAATTGTTCTAGTAGAAGCAAGTTTCTCATAACTAAAGGAAGCATTTACTGTGTATGTATTGCAATAGAATATTGATTCAGAGTTGGAGTTACTGGCATAACCCAATGGACAAAAAGACAGAAATAGACATGTGCCCAGAGACACATGCACATGGATTCCTTTCATTCACAGAGACATCCTGAAGCAATGCACCCCAGAACATACCAAGTACTGGTATTAGTATTTACGTTTTTGTTTTGTTTTGTTTTTGTTTTGTTTTGTTTTTTCTTTGTTTTTGAGACAGTCTCATTTCGACCAGCCTGACTTGCAAGTTGCCATGTGGTCATGTCTAGCCTTGAACTCCTGATCCTCCTGCCTCCATCTCCCAAGTTCTGGTGTAACAAGAATATGCCACCATACCTGGAGTACTAGTACTTACAAATACCATTTTATGCTAGAAGAAACGGGATTTGCAGGAAGTACTCAAAGACTAATGGCAGCATGGTAAAGGAACACTCAAGCTAACTTGAAGGATCTCCTCTTTACCAGATCTGGAAAATTAAAGCATCAAAATATATAATGATAGAATCCAATTATAACAAATTTAACAAAACAATAAACCACAAGTCAGTATATATGAACACAAGTTTTTGATGGAACCATAGTTTCAAAGCACCTTCTAAGAAGATTCTTACCTTTATTTATTTTGTGTGGGGGATGCTGGAGAGATGGCTCAGCCGTTAAAGGCTAGGCTCACAACCAAAATATTTTGTGTGGGGGAGGGCAGTGGGCATGCACATGCCATGGCACAAGTGTGGAGGTGAGAGGACATTGTGCTTGCAAGTTGGTCCTCTCCTTCTAGCATGTGGGGCCTGGGGTCAAGCTCAAGGGTTAGGCTTCAAGGCAAATGTCTTTACCCACTGAGGCATCTCACCAGTCCCAAAACTCTTTTTTGTTTGTTTTTGTTTTCCAACACAGGGTTTCTCTGTGTAACAGCCCTGACTGTCCTGGAACTCACTCTGTAGACCAGGCTGGCCTGGTACTCACAGAGATCCACCTGCCTCTGCCTCCCAGGTCCTGGGACTAGAGACATGCACCACCACTGCCCATCTGTGCCTCCAAATTCTTAATGATTGCAAGCATTGTCATAGAACCTCCTGTATATTCCATGCTGGTAAGGTGATCCAAGTAACATCAGCAGTAATAGGAAGTACTTAACAGTATAGCCGCTGATAAGGGCAATTACAAAAGCACGGCATGCCTATGATAGCCCTGCCAAGAATTCACGACTTCACCTTGATTATGAGCAAACCAAAACTAAAGCATACTTTACAAAACAATTAGCCTATATATTCAAGAGTGTTGAGACTATAAAAGTCAAGGAAAGGAAAGACAATGGAATTATTCTCAACTGATGAACACAAGATAAATAAAATCTTACTATGTGCCACATGATTGTAACTTAACCCTTTCTATGTGAAGAATATTATTGTGGCAATACATGAAACTGAATGAGTGATAATTACACAGTGACAACACACATTAATATAATTCACTTCGGTGGTTGCACTTGAGTTGTATAGGGGACTGTCCTAATTGTAAAACATCGATGTTAAAGTATTCATGCAGAATTGGACAGATGTCATATGATTTTAGTTAGTAGGAATAATTTCGAGATTTATTTTACATAAAGACTATCGTTAAAATTGTTGAGAGTAAGTGTTATATGTTCTCAACACAAATAATAAATAAATGGTAATTCTATATAGTCATTCTATAATGTGTGCATATTTCAAAATAACATGTCACTATACCATAAACATACACAATTTTTATTTACTTATTTATTAAAATTAAAGCAAATAAGATATAAAACACTTTAAGCATCACAGAGTAGAATTCATTGTCCCTCCAAGACAATGACAAGTTCTTCTCTACTTTTTAGTGCTGGGAATGGAACCCAGGGCCTCATGAATGCTAGACAAATGCTCCTTCACTAAGCTATACCTCCAGATTAGATAATTGCTAGTCTTACTTTTATCATGCATTGATTTACCTGTTTTAGGCTCTCATGGAAATGAAACTATGCCACAAAATAAAAGTATTCAGAATTATACAGTATCATGTTGACAACTTAATTGCAAGTGTTTCAGGGAAAAACATTCCCATACTTTCAAATATTATTTAAGTTTGCAACAAGTGACAAGATTAGAAGTCTCAACAAATACATAGACACTGTTAAAGAAAACCAAGTAACAATTTTAAATAAATTTTTATTTTTTTAAAATTAAAATATTACATAATTTTCTTGTCCCTTTCTTCCTTCCAATCTTTCCCATATGCCCTCCTTACTACCTATCTTTCTTTAATCATCTTGTTGCAGATATATATATATGCATATATATAGATACATAAATTTGTAAATCCAACCTGCACAGTCTTTTCATTGTTACATGTATGTATAGACTATCACAGCTGATCACTCACTGTTGGATAACCAATTAGGGAGCTCATCTGTGGGGAAGACCATCTTCCCACTCTCAGCAGTTCTTAATTGCCAAGGTCCTTGTCTATGGACAGGGTCCCATGGGATGTATTTACCCCTTCCATGTTGGTATGTCTATTAAAGGTATACTTGTTCAGATCTTGTTTGGGCAACCATATTGTTGAGATATCATGGGTAAGGCTTTGCTATCATTTCTAAGAGACACGATCTCACAGCATATTTCCTGGTCCTCTGGCTCTTACACTATTCTTCAATGATCCCTAAGCCTTGGATGCAGGAGTAGTGTTCTAAATATGTCAGTTTGGTCTGGGTACCCCACAATCATTTGTTCTCTGCATTTTGGACCAGTTGTGACGTTCTGTAATAATTTCTCTCTGTTGCAAAGAGAAGTTTCCTTGATGAGGGATGTGATGGTTTGAACAAGAATGGCCCCCATAAACAAATCAATTTAAATGTGTGGTCATTAGAGAGTGTTGCTACTTGACAAGGATTAGGAGGTATGGCCTTTTTGGACTGGGTGTGGCTTTGTTGGAGGAAGTGTGTCACTAGAGATGGGCTTTGGGGTTTCAAATGCTCAAGCCAGGCTCAATGTCTCTCTTTTACTGCTGCCTGTCAATCAGAATATAGAACTGTCAGCTACCTCTCTAGCACAATGTCTGCTGGTATGCCACCACACTTCCCACCATGATGATAATGAATTAAATATCTGAACTGTAAGCCAGTTCCAATTAAATGTTTTCCTTTATAAGTGTTGCCGTAGTCATGGTGTCTCTTCACAGCAATGGAACATTGACTAAGACAAGAGGTAAGAGCTAAACTTATCTGTGTGTATATAGATGAATATTTAGAATGTAATTAGAAATTGTAGCTGGTCCACAGGGAGGGGGATTTCAGGTCATATCCAGCTCAGATTCTTCAGGGTCTTTTCTGAAATGCCTGGTATCTTCAACAATAGGGACTTCCATTCAACCTCTAGTAGACAATCAGGAGCAACAGCAGTAGCCTACATTGTTTGGGGGAGTCTCTTCGTTTTCCCTGGCCAACAACTTGAAAGGGGTTTCTAATGCCTGGTATTAGGAATTTTGTTAGATAATCTATGGTTCTTGTGGAGATTGTTATCATTCCAAGTGCCATAACTTCCTATTTTATCCAATTTCCCCTTTCCCTTCATATCACTTTAAGTTGTTGAACATAAGCGATTGAATGGAAGTCCCTATTGCTGAAGACACTACGAACTTCATACAAAGGCCCTGAAAACATCTGAGCTGACTGTGCCCCAAAATTCTCCCTGTGAACTGTTCCTGTGTCTTGTACTACTGTCCCTCTCCGAAGTCCTCTTTTACTTTGCTGGTTTCTGCAGTTACTCCACGATATAAACTCACATCTGAAGATTTGGAGCTAGGAGCATCAGATGAGAGAGAACATGAGATGTTTGTCTTTCTAGGTCTGTTACCTCACTCAATATAGTATTTTCTAGTTTCATCCATCTACCTGAAAATTTTGTGATTTCATTTTTCTTTACAGCTAAATAACATTCCATAGTGTACATGCACCACATTTCCGTTATCCCCTCATCTGTAGAAGGACATTTAAGCTGTTTCTATTTTCTGGCTATTGTGAATAGGGTGACAATGAAGAAGCTTGGGCAAGTGTCTGTGGAGCAGGATGTCAAGTCCTTTGGGCATAGGTCAAGGGTAGTGATACACACTTACAGCTTCAGCTACTCAGGAAGTCACAGTGAGTTCCAAGCCAGCCTGAGCCACACAGTGAGACCATGTCTCCAGAAAAAACTGAAACGGTGAGCCACATCACCTGACAGGATACTTTTGTCATACTTTTTTTCCTTTACTTTAAAAAATGTGTCTTACTTTAGTGCAGTGGTTCCCAACCTGCCTAATGCTGTGACTCTTTAATCTAGTTCCTCATGTTGTGCCGACCCCCAACCATAAAATGATTGTTGTTGCTACTTCATAACTACAATTTCGCTAGTTATGAATCATAATGCAAGTATCGAATGCACAGGATACTGATATCCCAAAAAGGTTGCAAGCCACAGTTTGAGAATCGCTGCTTTAGTCCTTTAAATATATTCAAAAGACAATTTGAGCCCAGGAGTTGTGTGTGTGTGTGTGTGTGTGTGTGTGTGTGTGTGTGTGAGAGAGAGAGAGAGAGAGAGAGAGAGAGAGAGAGAGAGAGAGAGAGAGAGAGAGAGAATTCATTCTGTAAGTTCTGTTATTCTAGAGAACCCTGACTAATACAGATGGTAAGGCTCTATTACTGAAGACACTGTATAGTTTGGATGCAGGGAATAAAGCTGAAGGACCCACACAAGGGCAGGGGTGTATCTGTTATCCTAGTGCTGGAGAGGCAGAGACAAGGGGCCCACTGGAGCCCATTGGCCCACCAGTCTAGTAAATCAGTGAAAGACTCTGTTTCAAAACCCGAGGTGAAGAGCAATCAGGGAGACCTTCCGCATAGGCCTCCGGCCTCTGCACTGACTGGTAGACAAGTCATGGAGATCCCCTCTCTCTCCACCTCAGCACTTAGATTACAGGTGTGCTGGGCCCAGCTTTTTATGTGGGTGCCAGAGATTTGAACTCGGGTCCTCATGCCTGTGTGACAAACATTTTGACTAAGTTATCTCAGCAGCTCCCAATATTTTAAAGAATAAAATTATCATAATAGATACCAAAAAGAGCATTCAAAAACTCCAAACTCCATGCACAATAAATGTTCAACTAGGAACAGATGAGGTATGTCGATGAGATGAATGGCATACATGAAAACCCACATAAATAAGAAAGAAACATCTACTCTCGAAACTCCTAGTCAATAAAACAGAAGTTCTAACTAGTGAGATAATGCAAAGAAAACAAATCCAGAACATTCTGTTTAACTGGTGGTGCACACCTTTAATCCCAGCACTCGGGAGGTGGAGGCAGGCGGATCTCTGTGAGTTTGAGGACAGCCTGCTCTATAGAGCTAGTTGCGGGTCATCCAGGTCTAAACAATGAGACTTTGTCTCAAAAATCCAATTTAGAAATAAGAAAACTTTACATCTATTCCATGCCAGTGTGATCCTTATTTTTAAAATTCCCAACAGTTTATCCAGGAAAAAAAAACAATCTAAAGGATGGATTGAAGAAGATGATGTTTAAAATGCAATTTGTAGAAGCAGTGGATAGAAAATCATCAAAGATGTATAGAAAATGAAAACAAAGCACAACTGAGAATATTCACCAATTCTAACATGTTGAGAACAGAACACTCAGCATCAGCATACACATCATCTTCAATTGTGCAAGAAACACTGGTCCAGGAAAACCATACTCAAGGTTATTAAATAATCTTAAAAATAAAAGAATAGAAATCATACAAAGTACCTTTTCACACAGCTGAATTAAAGTAGAAAAAATAATAGAAACATAACATTAAATTTTGCAAATACTTGTGAACAAAATACTTCTAAACAATCCACAGGTCAAAGAGTACACAGATGAAGTAGAAAATATTTTGACCTTTATAAAAATGAAAATGCAGCATTTTGCAAGTTGTATGGTTCTGCTAGCCATATCTTAGAGGGAAAAAGGAAAAAACAAATCTAAACCAAGCTAAAGAGGTTAAGAAATAGGGTTAAGAAAAAAATAAGTAAAATTTAAAACCAGAAAAACACTGAATAAAATCAATTACAGGAAACACTGACTCTCTGAAAGAATTAAAAATATTGACAAACCTGAAAATACTGACCAGGAAAACGAATAAAGGTCCAGTTAACCCAAATCCTGAGTGAAATGGGGCATATATATCATTACAGAGCCTGAGGATATTATATGCATAATTAAAAATACTTTAAATATATTTTGCACTTAAATTTGAAAAGGAGAGGAAATGGACTAATTTCTCAGATACTATAAATCACCAAAACTCATCCATGTCAAAATAAATAAATCATTCTATAACTTGTAAAAATAAACTCTTTACTTCCAAGTGGCTTCGATAAAGCTACTAAATATTTAAAGAGGATATAATCTCAATTCTTCCCAGTCTCTACTAGAAACAAAAGAATTAATAATACTTCCTAGAAAAATGTATGGGGCCAATATTAACTTAAACATACAAAGGCATTACAGAGTAAAGAAAACTATATTAAAATCTCCCACACTTACAAATACAGAAATCTTGAAAACAAAAGGTAGCTAATTACATACAGTAATATATAAAAATAGTAATATCTCACAAGCAGAGATTATTCTGTGAATATAAATTTGTTTTAATATTCTCAAAGTAATCAATGTAATCCACAACATTAGCAATGTAAATAAGTCAAATCATAATCATATTAATTGGTGCATACCAGATTAGAATAAATCAAACATTTATTTATGAAAAAAAACTCCCAGCCATCTAAAACTAACTGAAAACTTCTTCGTCATCATCATGTCTCCTCACCTTCTTATGTCCAATTCACACTCGGATTTTAGCCCCAAGTAATGAGGAAATGTGCCACATCAAATAATTTGCCCTCAAAAATCTAACAGTTGGAAAACCTATTTGAATGTTTGGTGGATCTTTCAAGATCCACTTGGAAACTCAGTTCCAAGGAAGTCAAAATGAAGAGGTAAGGTTAAATGAGAAATGTCCTGGTGTTTTACAAAATGATCTACCCACAAGGCAAAGTGGAAGAAATCTTTGGGGCCCGGTAATGACATAGGGCCCACTGAGCAAAGAGAAGCACATAAATGCAGAAGACGATATAAAGGTGTAAGGCGAAGTGCTGAGAATGAAGTGCATTCCAATCCTTCTGAGCTTTCTTTGCAGAAGATCTAGTTTCTTCTCTTTTAGATTTCTTTATTACAGAAAAATAACGAATACAAGCTCAGTCACTCCCTCACACACCAAGAATGTCGTCATTCTTCTTGATGACATAAACAATAGCTCCTTCCTAAGAAGACAGTTTGTCTTCCTTGTCTTTTGTCTAAATCGCTACAACTAGCAGGGGCAGGAAACAAAACAGGATGTGAACAAGAGTACTATCCCTAGAAAAACAAAACTAAATAATCACTCAAATGCAGCAACCTTCTAAACATAGACTAAAACTTATATGTATATAGTTTCTGCTTTATGACCATCCCTATAAAATGAAATCAATTTTCCAGAAGCTGGCTTGTAAACCGAGTATAAATGCAAAAAGAAAAAAAATAAGAAGAGGAAAAAGGAAAAGGCACTGCCATCACATTTAGTTAAACTTACATTCCATAGGTGATGGGGAAAGTACATTAGTGTCGACAAAAACACATAATGTGTAAGAAATGTTAACGTTTAAGCGTTATAATCACCCAAGTGTTGTGAAAAACGAGTGAGGGATGAGGCAGGCTAAAAGAATGGCAGATCCATGTCTCCTCTCTGGAGTTTACTCACTGCATGATGGTTAAATCCCCACAACTTAAAAGCATGAATGAAAGACAATCTACTAGTTTTCACAAAGCCCAGAGGTTCCTCTGGAAAATACCTATTGTAGAGACAAGGGTACTGAAAAATCACAATAAGCTAAGTAAGAGTTGCTCTATTCTTCAACATGAAATGATGCTTTATAACAGATTGAGGAGACTGGGCTTTCTTGGTCCCAGGAGGGAGGGCCGTTGCATGCTGCCTGGAAGATACACGAGTGGAGAAGGCCCAGCTTCTCCTCCCCATCCTAGCCCACCCCCTTCTTGGGCTCAATCTGTCAACAAGGCCAGCTAGTCCGGAAACTAATACTGACATTAATTTGGGCAAACAGGTTAGTCAAGATCCCATAAATCCTGGGAGTTTTAATCAACTCAGGCTAGTTCAGTTGCCATTCAATTTGCACTGGGCCTCGGTGCTGACAAAAGGGGAAGGGCTGTACTACAATCAGAATTAAAGGGGTCAATGGTCCTGGACAGTGCAACAGCAGCTGTAGCCCCCACCAGGGTCCTCTGGTCCCAGGGTACAAAAGACAGAATGTACCCCAACTCCTGGAAGGGTTCCAAGCACAGGGGCAAACCCCCATCCCACACAGGCACTGCCACAATTTCTGTTATCGGCAAGAGCCAAGCTCTGGGCATGTGTCCATGTTCTAGTTGTCCCTGTCTTCCTAAACAAACCCACATGCCCTATACTACAGCTCCGTGGTACTGTTTTGTTTGTCTCTTCCTGACTTTTGACATCACAATGCTCAGGAGACAAAAAGCAATGAAGCCTAGTATAGATGCTGTGCTTCCTAGCTGTGTGGCATGACACTGCTCCTCTGCTGGATTGAAAATGGACTAGCTGACAAATAATGGCCTTCTGAGATCATGGATAATATTTATAAGCATCACAGGTAATAAATACTATGTTCATCCTCAAAAAAAGAAAGACAGTCTACTACATATTCTTTCAAAACATAGATCTAGGCTGGGAGGTTGTGGCTCACACTTTTAATCCCAGCACTCAGGAGGCAGAGGCAGGCAGATCTCTGTGAGTTCAAGCCCAGCATGATCTACAGAGTGAGTTCCAGGATAGGCTCCAAAGCTACAGAGAAGCCCTGCCTCAGGGAAAAAACTCGATCTAGTTGTCAAAGAAACTGGCAACTAAGCCTGATTACCTGAGTTTCATTCCAAGTCCTGCATGGTGCAAAGAGAGAACCAATACCCATAGGTTGTCCTCTGACCTCCAAATGGGCTCCATGGCACATGTGCCCTAAAAAGTAAATAAATAAAATGTAAAAATTAAAAATGTATACTGCATTATGTCACCAATTTAGTTTATCCACAATAATAGTGTAAAAGTGCTAAGAGAACGAAGATGCCCCCACAAGGTCTTCTGTGACTTTCCCCCCCTTAAATCACTTGATATGGGTCTATAAACCATTAGCTCATATAATTTCTCATTCCCAGCATTAAATTTACCTACAGTTTGGTTACATTTGGATATCTTACTATCACTTTGTAAAATCCACCCAACCTTTGCCGTCTTCATCATTTATCTGTTGCTGTGACAAAGCTCCACGATCAAGGCAACCTATAAAGAGAAGCATTTAATTGGGCTTACCATTTCAGAGGGTTAGAGTCTGTAATTGCAAAGCAAAAGCATGTTGGCAGGAACAGTTGAGAACTCACATCTTGATCCAAAACCACAAGGCAAGGAGAGGGTACTTGGGATGGCAGGGGTCTTTTGCAACTTCAAAGCCCACCCCCAGGGATGAATCAGTTTCTCTTTCTGTTACAGTTTTTTTGTTTATTTATTTTTTGCAGTTTTTAATTTATTTTTCACATTCCAATCCCAGTTCCCCCTCCCTTCCCTCCTCCTGCTCCCCCCATTGCCCCCTCCTCCCATCTGATGCATGGAAAAGGTAAGGCCTCTCCTAGGAAGTCTACTAAGTTGAGGCAGGACCAAGGCACCTCTCCACTGCCATACCCCTGTGTCTACGCTGGGCATGGCATCTCTCCATACAGAATGGGATCCACTAAGTCAGTTTGTGCATTAGTGTTAGATCTTGAACCCACTGACAGTGGTCTCATATATTGTTCCAGTCATACCATTATCATCCATATTAAGAGAATATAGTTCAGTCTTATTCAGGTTCCCCATTTGTCAGACCTGAGTCCGTGATCTCTCACTAGCTGGGGTCAGCTGATTCTGTGGGTTTCCCTATCATGGTCTTGACTCCTTTGTTCATATTATCACTTCTCTCTCACTTCGATTGTATTCCAGGAGCTTGGCCCATTGGTTAGTAGTGGATTTCTGCATCTGCTTCCATCTGTTTCTGGAAAAGGGTTCAAGCTTCTCTGGGGTTGTGGATTGTAGGCTGGATATCTTTTGCTTTATGCCTTGTATTCATTTACTAGTGAGTACTACTATATTTGTCTTTCTGGTTTTGGGTTACCTCACTTAGGATGTTTTTTTTCTAGTTATGTCCATTTGTCTGTGAATTTTGGGATGTCATTGTTTCTTAGTGCTGAGTAGTGCTTGTGTAAATATACCACACTTTCCTTATCCATTCTTCAGTTGAGGGGCAGTTGCATCAATTTCTAATTCTTCCCAAATAGTTTCACCAGTTGAGGACCACATATTCAAATGCATGAGCTTATAGGGGCCATTCTCATTTAAACCACCACATTCGTCTCAATTCAGTGAGTAGATGTAGACTCCAGAAAGGAGACATAGATCTGCTGTTCCTATAGCCTGCCTCATTTCTCCAGCCATTTGCATGTACAAACCATGCAAAATTCCTCCTGGAAGATAGATGTCTTTGATTCACAATTTTCCCTGGTAGAGGCAACTCCAATGGCTTCCACTTGGCCTTTCCAACCAAAATAACCTTCACTCCACAGGTCAAGGAACCAATGTGGGAATTCTGCTAAGTTCTAAGTATATCTATCCCAATTATGCATTCTGGGACTGGAGAAGTAACCACAGGATGAGTTTGGGGACCCACTGGAACTACTGTGAGTCAGACTTCAGACACATCTCCATCAATAACCTGACCTCTATAAGCCCCTACTTTAACTGGAGGGCCACAGTCTTGAGGACTCCCGGAATTGGAATCAGCATCAATTCTAAACAATTATCCAATAGACCTCAGAAAGTCTGATTGTTTTCTTTTCCCAGTGTACAGTTACCCTTATAAAGAGCTGTAGGTCCCTCTGGGAAAGGATGAGACAAAGGTATTTTTTATTTTTTATTTAAATTATAAACAAGCTTGCTTCACATGTCAATCTCAGCTCCTTCTCCCTCCCCTCCTCCCTTGCCCCCACCTCCCCAGCCCCCACCCAATACCCATTCTGCTCCCCCCCAGAGTTTGTCATTTCGTTCAGGGCAGGGACTAGGCCCTCCCCTGTGTGTCCAGGGTGAGAGAGCATCCCTCATTGTGGGATGGGCGCCCAAAGTCCATTTGTATGGCAGGGATATATACTGATCTACTACCCAAGGCCCCATAGATTGCCTAGGCCTCCTCACTGACACCCACATTCAAGGGGTCTGGATCAGTTCCATGCTGGCCTCTCAGCCATCAGTCTGGGGTCCAAGAGCTCCCCCTTGTTCAGGTCAGCTGTTTCTGTGGGTTTCACCAGCCCAGTCTTGACCCCTGGGACAAAGGTATTTTATCAAGATCCTTTCTCTAGGGGACCTGGGTGTCCCTTCATTTAAGGGATTCACTTTGCCTACACTGACCATTGCAGGTTAAGTCATGTGGACACTGTGTTGTCGATGCTGTCCATCCTGATAACTATGATCACCTTGCCTTTGACAATTCAGTGCTGCCACCTGACCCTTGCTACCTCAGGGCCCAATTAAACCCATTGCGTTTGATTCATCGAAGTGAGCAGCAAAGCCTCCGGCCATAAGGTCTGGCACAAGGAAGAGTAACAAGGAAACACTTCAAATGTGCTAGTGCTCCTCTCACCATTTTGCATCTTACAAGATTAGTGAAGGGTATGTCTTCTAGGCCTTCCCATTGTGAATGTTAGGATTTACACAGCATACCCGCTCTAGCATTGCAGTTTCTCTAAGCCTTACAATACCTTCATTAACACTAGGCCAAGGGCCATCAGGCACCTCCAATTCCTTTTCAATAGGCTATCTTTTGACAAATGCTTCATCACACAAACTTTTGACACGTTTTTAACTGTGTAATCTTCCATATTAGACCTAGAATCTGTCGTGGGACATTTGTACACTGTGTGAAGGTGTATTGCTGTGATTGGTGTAATAAAAACTGAATGGCCAATAGCTAGGCAGGAGGTGTAGGTGGGATTTCCAGGGAGAGAAAGGAAGAGGAGGGGAATCTAGGTGGGCAGGAGTTGCCAGGACACAGAGAGGAAACAGGAGGTGCAAGATGGAAGAGAGGCGATGCCATGTGATAGAACGTGGATTAACATAATGGGTTAACTTGAGTTATAAGAGCAAGTTAGGAACAAGCCTAAGCTACAGGCTGAGCATTCATAATTAATAAGTCTCCATGTCATTATTTGGAAGCTAGCTGGTGGAACAGAAAAAGACTAGTTACAAGAATCTCCACTCAGAGGGCCCATATCAATAAACTCAGCCTGATCCAGTTTTATGTTCCTTCCACCGTTATCCCACATGTTTAAAATCCGTTCTCACATTCATTCCCCAAACTTATGCTTGAATTAATTAGCAAACTTGTTAAGCTCTTTAGTAGGTAGCTTTACCTCCTCATGGATTATACTTTCTACTTCCCCTCAAGGAGCCTTAAGTCTGGTTACAGGTCTAGAGAGAACTATTGATGGGCTCTGAGGGACATCAGTATTGTCTTACCTGATATACTGCTGCTTTAGCTGACAATGGAAGATTAATTTCTTCAGTCAAAAATGAGAGGGCAGCCGGGCATGGTGGTACAAGACTTTAATCTCTGCACTCAGGAGGCAGAGGCAGGCAGATCTCTATGAGTATGAGGTCAGCCTGGTCTACAGAGTGAGTTCCTGGACACCCTGGGCTACTATACAGAGAAACCCTGACTTGAAAAACGGACTCCTAACTGGTCAACCTGCAGAGATTACCCTTAAATAGGATAGGACCTCTGTGTCTCAAGCCCTGCAAGGCTCAGGGATCATCACAGGAAAGGAAGAGAAACGAGTCACATACATATAGGAGACAGAGCAACCTGGGGAGAAGGGCTTTGAAAGTGTCTGCTGCACACAGCAGGCCCATTGCATGTAAGAACTCACAGTGACTGTGGCTATACACAGGACCTACATAGGATTAGAATAGTCACCATTCCAGCAATAATGAGAAAGGGGCTTATGAACTCCCACCCTTAACTGTGGAAGTATTGACAGTTGATGCCTTCTAGGTGAGGGAATGCCAGTTCTCATCAGAGATGCAGCCCTGGGTAGGTTGCCCATGCTCCAAGAATGGATGGCCCTACATTCATGCCCATACTGGCAGCACCAACTGGACATGAGGACATGAGGAGAGAACACTACAAACTTCCTCCAGACACAGGTGGGAAGCTGACTGCTTCCGTGCCTCACCAGGAAACTGCTAAGGTTCCTGAGGAATCAAAGGAAATAAGAATAAAGTGGACAGGGGAAGAAAAACTATGGTGGCTTCGAAGGTGCTAATATATGTCAAATTAATAGCTTTTGATGGTCCCGAGGTTATTGTAAAAAGAGAACACACTAGCATCAGGAACAGTAAAGGCCATGTTGAGGGGACTTTCTTCCTTTTGTTCCTCTCCTTCTTAAGGAAAATTTAGTGGTGTGCTGTCTTAAACAACAAAATACAAAGAAACCATTCACAAATACTGACATTCATAATAACAAAGAAAATTACTCCATTGACTGACCCAATCCTTTTACAAGACAAATGTCTCCCATTCTTTTGCTTTTAGAAGAACTTCATAATGGAGTTATTAGCTGACACATAATAAAAAAGATTTTTGAAGACAAAATATTGGAAGTACAGTCAATATTGAAAAAATTACAGTACCTTATACAAATTGATCAGTATAAGGTGAGTGAGTGGTTTTTAACTTATTATTTGGCATGTTTAAATTGTTATTACTACTTAATTCCTGACACTGTATTTTCTAGTATTTGGCTGACTTTGATGGCTCCAAAATAGAACAACAGAGATACCACTAATGACAAGAAAAATCCAAGGTCTTATGAGAAATTGAAATTTGATGTGCAGTCCTAAACAGGTTCTCTATTCCATACCCTTTCCTCCCAAGACTTGGGGCTTGCAAAAGAGATGGCAGAAAGGGTTATTAGAGCATAGATATGGGTGACTTAAAGCAAGCAGTATTTTCCAAACATGGCAGAGCAGTCATACATGTGAATGTACAAACTGTGCGTGCTCAAGTCAGACATAATCCCAGCAGGAAGAAGAGAGGAGGTGGCCATGAAGTCCCACCCCTAGATGAGCCACTATTGGCAATGGATAGCTGCTAGGAGAGGAAGAGTTGGTTCTCTTTAAGAGTATGGCCTCTGGTAGGATGACCACAGTCCAGGGGAAGGTCTAGAGATTTTGCAGTGGGTAAGATCAAAGATGTTCAA